AAACGTATTGCACAAACTCATGATTAACAATTAATTATGATTAATTATTAACTATTAATTAATTCCTGCCTGATTATACTTGGTATTAATGTTTTATCATGTGTGTTAACTTCTTACGTTTTACAACTTATGTGTATATATTTATAAAAACCAATAGATACTATAAGTGAATTTATAAGAAATTAATAATCTTGTTTTGGAGAAACTACAGTTCTATATTTAATAGAGACTATAATGTTTGTTTAAATACTTGTATATACGTTTCCATTTCGCTATTTCATTTATTTATTTATTCGATTTTTTTGTAAGATACATGCAAATAAAAATAAAATGATACTTAAGTATTATACTTTGTTAATTAAAAACTTCAATCCATATATACTTCTATGAATTTATTTACATTGTTAATTTATATAGTACAATATTAAAATTAGTTGAACATATTATTTAGCCAGTCCTTTTTTAATCTTTTCTTCTTCTTCTTGCAGTTTCTCCATTTCTTGTTGTTCCTTAAATAATCTAATCAATTCTTCTGTTGCTGTGGGCTCTTGTAATTTATATTTTCCAAGCTTTTCCTAAAAATTAAGAAACATAAAATTTGTTTGAATGAAAATAAACAGTTTAATACAACTAATCGAAAAGATATCAAATATTTACATCAGGATATTCTGCCAAATTTAATGCTGGTTCCTTAAAAGTAAAAGGTGTCCAAGGTCCTTGAATCGAAGGGAAATTTGTACGCCATAATTTGAGTAATCTAACAGAAGATCCATCATGATATTGTGTTTTCATTAAATGCATCAATTGATAAACGTCTTCACGACTATAATTGGCAACACTCATCCACTGTGTCTCTCCATTCACTGTAATGAATATGTAGTATTTATATATACACACTTTCCTTAGTTCTCACAAAAATGATTAAACCTACAATATTCTGCTTTTATAACTGCACTTCTGTGTCTTCTTGGTTTAACGTATACTACAACTCCAGGATTTTCTCTTGCAAAATTGATTAAATCATTTTCAAGAAACTTCCTATAAAAAAATCAAGATAATTATGTACACGGAAAACGATATCCAGTGTAATAATAATTTTCATATAATGTATTAAATTGCTGAACACGAGTAATGTTATAGGTTATGGTATGTAAAACGGAATAAGTTAAATCAGTGAACATAACATGAGAAACGAATAGAATGAGCAACAACTAAATAAAGTAATAATCGAGAATTTTATCATAGTAAAATTATTAGATCCGTGTATTAAGTCACAATCAAAAGATTAGGAATACAAATAGTATTACCTTATTCCACCACTATCACCCATTCGTTTACAAAATTTTAATGTAACTCTTTGGAGCTGACATACATAGCGACCAATACCTAAGCCAAAAGGTGGACGAACATATCCATACGGAAGAAATAAGTGGTGATTTGACATTTTTCCAATAGAAAATGTATATAAAATTACTCTGTATAGTGATCACCGCAGGTCACTGATACTGTTTACTAGACAGCCCCAGTGTGTGACTATTTTGCCCGCAACATAGGGGCGCTCCTCGCGTCCACACCCCTCGCTCCCCAAAATCTTCAACAAACCTCTCGCATCTATTGGAAGGCGAACACGCGTCACTTCACGTCGTGTCGGCGCAGGCGCATTACAGTTGGGAAAGTCTTGAGTTTGGCGACTAGTCAGGGGAAATGGAGGATGCGAGGGACGCCCCTATGTTGCAGGCAAATGGTCACACTAAATAGCACTAGATAGACGCACGGCGCATGCTCGTAAATAGATATTTCCCCAATACAAATACAATGTAGGTATGTGCATATTAATTAAATTTATTTATTATATCTCAATTTCATTAATATTTCAAAATACATTCGATTGCCCTACATTCCGTATAAAATGCATTTACATTTACCTCAATTTTCTACATTACAACTCATTGTTCATTAAAAAGTCTCATGATCGCTATCTGCACCAAAAGATCAATTCAAATAAAATTTAACTGTTGTCAAACCAGCGTGGTTCAATTACATTGCATTTAATGGGCGGTAAAGGAATGGACATTATAGATGGTAAAGATGTAGGTAAAAATTCTCCTGGCCAAAAATGTGCAACGTCCATGAAAATACATCCGATCAGGATACCGCGCATAACAGGCATCAATATTCTCAAAAGTTTGCTTTTCTGTGGTTTTTGGGGCCAAATGAAAATCAATCGCGATCCATCTGTTGTATGTAATGAAAACAATTAATATTAAAAAATATAATTTAGATGTATAGTATTAATTTTGAAAGAACTATTAATATTATAGCATAATTATGTAGAATGAAATAATGGACTTGTATTGCGACGGATAATTGACGATTTAACGTGATGAGGGTTGACGCCGGGAGGAGCACTGAATATTCCATTTTCGTTGAAAGTTTTCCTCTTCTTGTAACTAAATCTGCGTCCACCACTCTGTGTGTACAATACACGATCTTCGAAATTATGTTCGTAGCTGGATCTAGCCAAGCTAGTGATCGTGCTTGCTGTACTGTCTTGAAGGGAGACACTAGTTCCGGTTATTAAGGAACATTTGTCGTCGTCCGTGTCACGACTTGTCGAATCCTCCGTCTTTCTAAAAGAGTTTTATCTTTAATGTATTCAAATCGACACTGAACAAGGCTAGTTTTAACTTGTATTAAGATAAAGTATTCAAAAGATGTACGTAAATTACTTTACTAACTCTTGGCTAAGACGATGGGCAACATTATTATATCCCTCTGCCTGCTCCAGATTTTAAGTCCGATTTTCATAAGTTTTGTTACCTGATGGGATTAATATATTTTGCTTAGCACGAGGCGGCGTTAATACATTACGATTTCTGTAGTGTTTTCTTTTAAAACTGTGAAATATGCACATACATATTTTCAACAGTTATTCTACTTTTTTTGCTGTTAATTTCAGCGAATATTTATGTCACTGATTTCACTCTGATTGATGTAAAATTTCGTTTTGAGTTTTGACTTTAATACTGACAGGTATTTTTCACTCGAAACTGTCAGAAGCAACCTGCTCTTCAAAATTTCCATTGAAAAAGATCCGTAAAAAGTCGTAATTCGAAATAGCTGACTTTAAACTTAATTATAAGAAACACGACAAACTGTTTGTAACTGTTATTTTTAGAGGAACTAAATTTCCTAAGCGAGATGTCTGGATGTAAATGCACGTATCAATTTTGGAATAACGATTCAACAATGTTGGAAATAAAATGTACTCTCGGTCTTTTTAACGTATTTACATTTATCAGGCCCGAAACCAGAAGCAAAACCGATCGAATGCATTCCGTACTTTGAAGACATTACCATGAAGATGCAAGAACGTCGCTGCGATCTGATCGGCAAACAGAAATATTTACGCGAAAAGATCACGACAATGGAACGGTCGATTCCAGCGTTGATAGCGTACAATATGTGGATGGCCAAGGATAAATGTGACGATGCACCGACTTGCAAAGTCCGTGAAATCATAAAGAAATTCTCTACGTATCCAGACCCAACCGAAAAACTTCTCGCAAACTTGAAGAGAGCGGTGAAGGAACTGAACGAGGAGACAGCCGAGTTGCATGTACGGAACGATTGACATTCAACGATTAAATCGGGTAAATCTTCACACCCGGTTCAAACCTTTACTAAATATAATTATACATTAAACAGTGTATAAAGTTTACATAAAATATTCACCAACAATTCTTTTTCTGTCCAAAGGAAAAGATTATTCAAGCAGATGTTAAGTTAGAAGAGACAGATATGGAACTCGAATCTTTAGAACTATTGAATAAAGAGATGAATGTAAAGTTGACCAGTTTGGAGAAAGAAGTTAAGAGTTACACTACTCCAAGTCTTCACTCCATACGCTCGGAGGATTTGATTTGTCTATCGAAGATTCATCAACTAGCTAAAGAGGAGCTATGCATGAAACACTGTATCAAGCAGATGGAGCAGAAGGAGACACTGTTCAAAGAACATATGGACCAATTATTAACATGCAAAGAATACCAAAATATCTGTGATAAACGAAAAATGGTTAGTTGTTTTCAAAACTTGGACTGCAGTGGGAGGATGCTATGCTATGAGCTTAAAAAATGCCCGTGGTACAAGCCAACTATTCATCGTTTGAAGAAAAAGCTGGGCCATGAGAGAAGAGAAATTCTTATTGAAAGTGAGAAGGTAAGATCAGCTATAAAATAAGTTGGAGCAATTAATTTATATAGTTTTGCACAGACACAGACTCAGAACGATGCAATAGTCTCTACTTCTGAACATAGTATCAGCAAGCGAGATAAATCACAAGGAACAATGGAGAAAAAGTCTTCATGGATACCTAATTGGTTTTCAAAAAATCAGAAGAGTCAGGAAGGTATTCCTCCTTCAAAAGCTGATGAATCAAGTATAATTTCCACTGAGGAAAACAATGTAAGAAAATACTAAGTTGCCTCGATAGTCATTTCTACTAAATTATTGTCACTTAATAATACTTAATTGCGTGATAGAAATCTAACAAACCAGTCACAGTCGAAGCGTCGACGGAACCAGTTCATCTCGCAGAAGAACCGAAAGAAAACAAGAAAACTAGTGATAAACAGGACAAAACATCAAAATACACGACGTTTAGCAAACCTTGTGACCGCAAGGTTTGTCTTCCAGTTGCTAAAAAAGGTGGCAGTAAAAAAGGAAAAGAAAGACTCTGTGCAGGAAAATTATTTACACCTTGTAATATTTCCTGTATGAAGCCGCGCAAAGGTTGCTTTAGCCCTATGGTGCCAAAAAAATCTTGTTTTGATACTTCCTGTTGTCTAGTCGATCATGGTACGAGTTACTCACTCTTATCACCGTATTATTGGGGATACCGCCTACTCTGAACATTAATTACTTTTCATTTTATTGTACAGGTATTAAAAAACCATGCAAATTGTACATGCCATCATGCGATCTCAAAGGTTCATGCGAAATTTGTCCTTCAGTGTTGTGCAAAGACTATTTTCCACCCACAAACAACTGCAGATGCAACTGCAAGGGAAAGTGTGCCAAAGTATTGTCAGAAGCAAAGTGTAATTGCAGCGACGCATTATTGGACCCACTAGAAACGTATCAACCCACAGCTTCTCAGCTGCATAATACTCCATATAATTATGATAGCAATAGTGACGACGAATTTTGCGAATGTTGTTCCTGCGGCTGTGAAGACAGCGATGAATCTTATTCATGTAAGTGCAATTAACTAACACATCACTAAGGTCAAGAGCAACATTTTTAGTCAAAATACTTATCATAAATCTTGTATGTCACATTAGAGTTTACTGTTGAGACTTTTACTACAGAGATTTAGTACCATGAAGATAAATACACGAACATTTATATTTAAAAGATATTTATTTTATACATACTTCATGTAGAAAATTAACACAGAAGAACATTGCAAATTTTGCAACAATACCAGCTTGTAATACATTCTTAGTTTAACTAAATTCTTTTCTTAGAAAGGAATGTGGAAAGGGTAGTGGGGACTTGGTTCCGTACTGAAAAAGAAATCAATTTTTATGGTGAAATCGTAAATAAAATGATCGAGATATGGCAAGTAAGAATTGTAAAATGAACACATATTTACCCAGGCATTGGACAGATCCTGCCGTTACAATCAAATGTATCGATGTATGCAATATCTTCAGAAGTAAGCTTGAAATCAAAGACCTCGGCGTTCTCAGCGATTCGCGACTTTGTAACTGACTTAGGGATTACAATGTGTCCACGGTCCAACTACAAAAGATGGTTTATTTGAATAAATATTCATAATTCAATGAATATAACTGATCCATGAAAAATATGTATGTTTATGTACCTGATATCTAATCAAAACTTGTGCAGGTGTTTTGTTATATTTTTTCGCTAATTCACCCAATTTTTTGTCATCCATCAGTTTGGGATCATCGGGTTGCGCCCATGGCCTGTCAGGAGATCCAAGAGGACTGTAGGCTGTGATAAGAATACCTTTCCCAACACAGAGTGCAGACAGCTTTTTCTGAGTTAGGTATGGATGACATTCGATCTATAATAAAACACACATCGTAGATGACTACTTACAGAAAATAATATAAGTTTAATCACTAATGCTTACCTGATTTGTAACTGGTTTGATGGTACAGTTCTTTAGCACTCTTTCCACTTGTTCAGAATTGAAGTTGCTAAGACCAATGTTCTTTGTAAGTCCCTTAGTTACCAAACCTTCCATGGCCTTCCATGTATCCATATAATCAACATTGCTCAAGGCTAGAGTATCATCAGCATTCTTTGGGAAGAGATCATCGCCTTCTTTGTAAGCCATTGGCCAATGAATCAGGTACAAATCCAAGTATTCCAAACCCAGATTGGACAGAGTAGTTTTGATAGCTGGCTCAACCAGTTCTGGTTTATGGAACGTATTCCATAATTTGCTTGTTATAAAAAGGTCTTGCCTTTTCACAACACCTTCAGCTATCTTGGCTTTAAGGGCAACACCGACTTCCTTCTCGTTTCCATATACATGAGCACAATCAATATGACGATATCCCAAGTCAATAGCATCCTTAACAGCTTGTGTAACCTCGCCAGGTTTAGACTGTGAAAATATGAATTAATACTGATTATCTCCAGCTGTAATCATATTATATAATTTATTCTATATATCATATCATTTTTATCACTTTTTACACTGTTTATCTCTTATTTTTCACTTTTATCAATCTGAAGTTTAGATGGTAAACTGATCAGTAAGAAATCATTGACACTTATATGGAATCAGAATAAAAAATATTGTTGATTATTAATTTAACAGGTGTTAAGTGTATAAATTTTAACATTTAAAACGTTAGTATATCATATGGATACAAAGGCTACCAAAACAAATGATAAAGGAAAGGCTGTGACACTGAAGTGACCTTGCCTAAGAAATGATTAGAGGAAGTTTAGATTCTGTTATCAAATGCTGGCAAATCCAAGAACAAATTAAAAATCACATTGCGGCTTTAGGTACAAAAATACTTGATTGTAACCCGGTATTAAAAATGCCAAATTATAAACGAAATGAATTCATTGATCCAACTGTTATAATTAAAGGAACATGTATGCAGATTGCACAAGCTTATATCCTTTTCAATTTTGTTCACACAAAGGTAAAAAAAGGAATATTTACTACAATCATTCACTTACTTTCCAGGTGCCCAGACCGAAAGCCGGCACCTCGTTGCCGTTGTAGAACTTCATCATTGGTACGTTTAGGGTCATTTTGACAATATGTAAAATTTTGTTACTGGAAACACAGGAATATTTATACACAACCGTGACACTTCACGATTTTCGACACACCGACAATTGCTAGATCTCGGAGTATAATGCCAACAGATTCACCTAGAGTGTCCCTTTTATAAATGTCCCATCCGGGAACATAATCCCTGCTCCTGCCCCTCGAATCTCAGGCCCGTATATCAAAGAATGAAACGAGATCTCCCAAAATTCGTTTATCATCACGCGTACATGAACGCAAATGAACGCTCTGAAAAATAGCAAACTTCGTTCATTAGCAACAGCATTCATAGCCCAACAAATCATCTTGAGTAATTCTATAATCTAATAACTTTCTCTAAAGTTATTATACTTATGTAAATCGTGAAGCTTCTTCGTTTTTATAATAGGCTTCTCTGATAGCTAATCCATTGCTTATTGTTGGAACAGAAGTTTCTCATTTTTGATAAAAATTTGCACTAATTCAATCATTCAAAAGTTATCTTCCTTGCTTTTAATTTAAATTAATAATATCTTGAATATTTATATACGCTATCATTGGTTTACCGAAGATAACGTTATCGAGAGTGATGAACGACGATGTCAAAGATGGAAACATTTTCAAGGAAGTTTTTGTGATGACACAATTAAATAATGTTCAAATCTTTTAGCTACACATATTGCAAATTCATTGAAAAATGTTCGCGAATAAATAGGCCCTTTAACCTAGCAAGAAGGGTACGGCCCTGGAATTATTTTGCGTCTGCGCGAATACAAAGATAGTGTTTTCGTGATGTGCGATCTTGCATAAGAACTTCTATGCTTCTAATACAACTATATTTCTGTGTAGCGGACTCAAGTAAATTCGCTGCAGAAAGAAACAAGCCCTATGGAAAGTTACAGAGTTCGTTAGTAGGCAAGGGACTCCCGAATCCCTTGATTGTTGACGATGAATGGACCACTATATGGGCCGAGAATAACAATGCTTCCTCCGTCGCGGAATGGAACAGGTCAGCAGTGGGTAGCAATTTTAATCCGTTATAGATTCAGAAAATTTACATATGTTGAAATCTTTTCAATACCCGCAATTGTACAAATTTAAAAACATAAAGCATTCGAGTAACGAAGTTATATCATTTTCACGTATCTTTCGGAAGTAATTTAATCGTTTCGACAAAATATTATTGCTATCGAGATTTTGTATTACGACCGAACGAAATTAGCCGGTCAACTTCGATATGATATCGTTGCATTGTATCGAATTAATTATTTAGCTTAACAATTAAGAACCCTCCAGAAACTTCTTGACAAGACAAATTGATGTTTAGGATTAGCATAAGAATATACGTATATTCCTCGCGTTCTTATCAATGATCGATGTTTCGTCGAACTTAGGAATCTTGGTTGATATCTTGTTTTTCCAACGAACAGATGTACCTTCCGTAAACCAAATACGTATGCAATGAAATTAACAACTTTCGAGGAAACATCATAACAGGGTTCTTAACGATTATGCTGTATCTAAAAAGAATTTAAAAGTATTCTTTTTAATAGTAATAGTTCATAGTTCCAAGAAAAATGATTAGATCGCATTACTAAAGATGACGTGTTGATTCACAATTGATTACGAAATCGATAACTGAAGTTACTTTTTACTTACTGCAGTTTATTCGCTATGCATGCGATACATAGTTAAACATACGATAGTTATGCAAGAATGTGCACAAATCTGCACAGTTAACGTCTGCATAAATTATTTCCTCGAAAATCTATGTATAATAAGCTTAAATAATATAAGTAGCTAATAAGCTACTTATCAGACTAGACCTGTGACATGGGAACAATGATACTGTTTTAACAGTCCGATAAGAATAGTCGTTAAACGATCGTAAATGTGCGTTCGGGAATTTCTGAAAGACAGGTCTTCTATCGATCACAGAAGTATCATTCACTCGTACATAGCCACATAATCAAGCGTTATCGCTACGAAAACAAATATTCAAAAACTTAAAAAAACAAGAGGGCTTATTTCTAGATTATCAGTCACGTTGAAAGCTTCTCCGCTACTTAAGAAAAAAGAGATTGACCGGATAATCCAGTACCATTACGAAATACACCTAAAAAGATATAGAAATCTTCCAAGGTCAAAGGACTTGTGACGGCTACCACTGGCACTCGCCAGCGTGGTAATCAATGATATTGTATATCCGATATCCCCGCATCTAAGGCATGATCACTTTTCTCTCTTTCTTTTCCGTCACTTCCGTCACATCTCACAGACTCAAACGAATCATTATAAAAATACAAAAAGAATTTTATTCCTCCGATTGTATCATACAAAAGATTAAATAAATAATGAGGTAAGAATAACAGCTAGGAACACAGACTACATCGAAACATGATTTTCGTAGTCAGAGTCCTGAGCGTTGGAGGAGCCAGGTTTGTTACTTTCATCGAAGGAATCGCTAAACATGGAATTCATCTGGGGCCCTTCAAGGGCTATATCCAATGTATGAGAACAATTCAAAGAATTGCTGAAACTTTCATCCGTATCGTCCGAGTAGAAAAAGAGCGGCTCTGCAGATATCTTCTTCTTCATCACTGACCTGGTAACTGCCTCTTCTGGAAACTCTTCGGTGACCTGTTTCTCGTGCTCTAGAAACGATTTCAGGGAATCGTCGGTTGACAGGGAAAGATTAAACGAGCTGTCCATCTCATTGAAGTCATCGATTCGTCCTATCGATGTATTCATTCTCTCTATTTCTGGCGAGCTGAACGTAGAGTTGAACAGAACTTCTCCTTCTTCAGAGTTCCCCGCAACCACGCTGAAAGCTACAACGTCCGGCAAGGTGGAAATCGGTGTTCCTGATTCATTGGATTTAATCGACATTTTACCAAACGCGACGGCGCTCCTTATCGCGTCCTTGCATTCCTTCACCTTTGTGAACATCTTTGACTTCAGGGAACTGCAGATTTCCACCATCGGCGACGAATTGCCCCGCGGAGATAAGATCCTCTCGCATGCCGGCGACTTAGGATCGTAGTTTAGCTTCGAATTGAATCTAGAAACGGTTGAACAATGTTTATCCCCGTTTAGTCCACCAACAGAGAAAATGTCGGAAGTAAAATGGAGATTTTGTGGTACCGCATGGTACTTACGTCTGCGAGATAAAATTCATTATGCAGGCGATATCAGTGATGCAATTTACTGCAGATATTTTGAAGGAGCGACCGTGAACGGAACGATAAGCAACACTCGCGATCGGCCGTTGCTTTTATTATACTATTGCCAGCGAGAGATCGTGCCTGAATTTACCAAACACGATTACGTGGGAATTCAGAGTTTTGAATCTTTGTTTGTATGATTTGTCGGTCAACTGTGAACTATCATGCATGATACGCCAATCGCGAGCCTGGTTCGATATTTGTAAACTTCCTTGTTAGCCTGAATCAGTCATACAACCATATTTTAACAATTTGAATCATAAAAAAATAATTTGCACTATTGAAATAATTTTTTTCCTCGGAAATTGGATAAATTTACGAACAACACGGATGTATAAAAATCTACAGTTATAGTTTGACGATCTCCCCTAATTGTATTGGATAGTTTATTCGTTCTTTGAAACTTAAAGACTTAAAGCTTAAGTGGCTAGTCTTTAACAATAAGTTTCTAATAGGGTAGACGTCGACTGTGTGACACTTTTAGAGCCAGATTTTCAGTTTGTATTGATTTCGTTACTGATACCATGCATTCTCACTCTCATGGAGATGTAAATATGTATGTATTGCGCTTCTGCGATGAAAAGGGGGGCGACGATGGAAAGTGCCATTGCGAGAAGCAGCACCGGACCCGCATAGCGAAATATTCCATCCATGTGAGGCCAGCGGATATAGGAGGTGACAATTTCGCTCGTTAAGAGAATCATCCGAGAAAAGGGTCCTCGCCCACGTCTTTCCAATCCATTGACCCTGAGGCAGGCTGATCTAGAATTTTACACAACAATAAATCACGTTCTACGCGTGTGGGGACCCATTACTATGTCTGTTAAATTAATCAAAACGAATAAACTGATTGTGGATGTTTGCATGGGCTCACGATTTCATCGCAAACTTCTTCAAGCCGAAATCTACAGAAACTTGTCATTAACAATAAATTCTATTTTGCAGGAGGCGAAAGGAATCTAGGATCTACCAGATCAAAAAAAGATTGACAACATTTATTATGAAAGTATATTTCGTTTAATTATCTATCTAGGATTATCAGAAGTTGACAAAGTTAGACGAGAGTGCGCGTAATAGTGACCTTCTGTTTTGCTTCACTCCGTTAATTGTGTTTCCGCTACCGCGTTTCAGTCAATTGCGGAACGTGATATTACGACCGGTTCGAAGAATGCAAGTTTCCGTACATAGCTTCCATTGCGCATTACAATATCGATTGGTTCTTCGTCCTCGCTTAATTAAGCAACGCTAAACGGGTACGTACGAAGTTGTTCCTTGCGTTCCTAATATGCATTATGTGGAACTCATTAAGTTATACTAAATTTGATAGACCGTCGAAACAAATTTTTGTCAATTACATGAACGAACAATTAGCATAAATGAACTGGGCACTTTTTTTGTAAAGTTTCCAAATTCTTTGTATTTTTTGGTGGTATCGTTTAGTTTGCTAAATATACTTTCGCAAAGAGTGTTTAAATTCACAATGAACTTTGAAAGTACTTCATATATATATTTTATTACTGTACACTGTACTATCGATTCGGTACCAAGAAATATTCTATTTGTTCTGAAAAAATACTCTCGATCGATGGCAGTTTCTACCGCATTGTGTACGATCGATGTAATTTATGGCAATTTGGTACAGCACGTTTATGTGTCAAACGCGTTACGTTCAGCTTGGGTAGCATTCAAAACATGGCATCAAAATTTTCCATGGCACTCAATAAACTTAATTGATTAGATGAGGGTCAAACGGGTGCCGAATTACAGCGTGAGATTATATAAGTTCAAAGTGGACATGCTCCACCATTAATTTTGTGCTGGTTCTGACAGGCAGTTTCCTGCTGGAACAGCGGATCTTTGGTATAGATCGGTTACTTCTCAAAAGGATAGTACTTATGGGCCTTGGCACTGAAAAACAATGTGAAAATGTCAAACAGTGTCCATACAAAATTCACATACATCAGATACTTACTCAGCAAAACGCGCCACGCGTTGCCCATTCCCTATGATCGCGATGGCGGCTATTTCCTCGTCCGTTAAAGAAAAATCGAAAATATCCATATTCTCCTTTAGGCGACTGGGTGTCACCGTTTTCGGAATAATCGCGACACCTTGTTGCATCTGGAACGATTAATTAATTATGTTTAGAGCCGCGGGACAAAACAGGAAACCCAATTCATACATCAATAACCTGATTTTGATTCTTGAACATAATCACTTTATGGTTTCGATCGACCAAACTAGCTGCTTATCTTTCCACAATTTTACGATACTACAAGTGTTATCACTCATGTTCAACCAAAGTGTTTCATGTAATCAAGTGAACCGATTGCCCAGTGTTTGGAGCAAGGTCATTCCTAAATATACCTACCAATCCAAGAGGGAACACTTTACATAATTACTCACCACGTATCGTAGTGCGATTTGCGCTACCGTTTTGTTGTACTTCTGCGAGAGCTCCACTATCTTTGGGTGGTCCAAATTGTTTGGAATTCCAGCTTTATTTCCAGGCTGACCTAATGGCGAATATGCGGTCACCGTAATGTTATTTTTCGTACAGAACTCGATCAACGGTTTTTGATTCACGTTTACGTTGGCTTCAACCTACAGTTATCCTACATTATTATCGAACACAAAAAAATCATTTTAAATCAAGCAACCGATAAATTACCTGGTTGTTCACAGGCTTTACTTTAGTTGCGCCAAGCAATCGAGTTAGTTGTTCGATGTTGAAATTGCTAACACCTATGCTTTTCGTGAGCCCTAAGTTCAGGCATTCTTCCATTCCCTTCCAGGTTTCTAAGTAATCGGTGTCTGACATTATAAGAACACCATTTGTGTCGCGGGGCATTAAATCGTCGCCGTCCTGATGAATAATTACCATTGGTCACTTGCATGCATAAGTAATTGAAATAAAATTAACTGCTAAGGCTTACACGGAATGCAAATGGCCAGTGAACTAAATATAGATCGACATAACTCAATCCAAGGTACTCCAAAGATTGTTTACATGCTGGTACCACGCTTTCTTGCTTATGAAAGTTGTTCCAAATCTGTAAATATCAGTTTATTCATTATATGACGTATCAACAAAGTATATTTAATATGAACTTATGTAAGTATTATTAATAAAAAGTGAACATTGCACAAGTACACACAGTAAAAGTACGAATAATAATATTACCTTGGTTGTGATGAACAAATCCTCTCGCTTCACAGTGCCGTCTTTAATTTTCGTTTGAATCGCGTTGCCAATTTCATGTTCATTTTGGTAGAAAAATGCAGTGTCAATATGCCGGTAACCTATCGATATCGCCTCTATTACGGCTCTTTCCACATCCCCGGCATGAGACTAACAGATATGTAAATCGTTTAATTGCAGAATACGAGATATCACGTGACATAAGATCGTGTTGTATATGATTGATTGTACTGTTGTATGTGACATCACATACTGGCATTAAAACCAATTTTCGGAATAGCGGTTACGTTATGACATAATGGAAACAAATACCGGTATAACACCAAAATCTTAAAATATTTCAGTCTCTGGTTCTATGTACATGTGTATGGATGTTTGAATATTTTCGTACCTGATACGTGCCCAAACCAAGAACTGGCATTTTCTGACCATTGTGAAACGTGAGATTGGATATTTGCGCCATTACCGAGAAAAATGATTAAGGATTCACAGCAGTCAGAAGAGTTACGCTTTACACACTCACACCACGGGTTTACACCGCGCAATGACTAACTCATCCACTTCGTTCCCAGCTTAGACTAGAATTATATAATATGTACATAGACAGAATATTGCGTATAACGTTGTTTAACCATGATTAGACAAACCAATGTTACACAATACTATCTTATCGCTACGAACGTTATTAGAAATCATATATTAATACAGTTGCGGATGCATAAATAAATAACATGAACTACACATGCAATAATTGACAAATATTTATAACTTAATAGTTACAGAGTTACACAGTTACAGAGACATTACTTGAAGGTCCAGTTGTATAGGAATAATATGGCATTTTCTTAAAATTCTATGTCAAATGGATAATCTTTGTAATGATTGGACCTAAACAAAAAATATATAATGAGTATGTATGTAATACAGAGCAAATTAATTAAAAGACTTACTTATCAAAATGGCATATTCGAAGCCCACAATCAAGAGTGTCGACCAGCGCAATTTCTTCTGATGTCAATTTAAAATCAAAAATATCGATGTTCTGCTTGATACGCCCCTTCGAGCTGGATTTTGGGATTGGAATTGTTTTGATTTCGACCTACAAAAAGATAATGTATTCAATGAGTGCTATACTACTGGAAATGTAACGTGAAATATGAATGTTTAATTTACCAAGTATCGCAAAATGATCTGAGCGGGTGTTTTGCCGTACTTCTTGGCAAGTTTAAGTATTTCTGGTGCTTCCGTCATAACTTCATGGTCACCCTGTTTTGCCCATGTTCGTTTGGGTGAACCGAGAGGACTGTAAGCACAGACTGCTATACCACGTTCATCACAAAATTTTCGTAGTTTCTGTTGATTCAAGTTTACATGACATTCCACTTGGTTTATAACTGGTTTAATTTTGGCTATTGATAAGATGGAATCTATTTGCTTGGAATTGAAATTGCTGAGACCAATGCTCTTCACTAGTCCTAATTTCACGCATTCCTCCATACCACGCCATGTATCCAAATAGTTCTTATCTACATTTACATGAGTTCCTTTGTGTTGCGTTTTCCATATTTTGTCCTCTTCAGCCTAAAATAACAGATAGATGATAGTCATAGTTTTATAAAGTCTATCTAGGATATGTTTTAAATCTTACTCCAAAAGACATGGGCCAGTGAATTAGGTATAGGTCCACATATTCGAGACCAAAGTTTTCTAAAGAAATCTTGCACATTGGTACAACTTCTTCCCTTTTGTGGAATGAATTCCATAACTGTAAGTAGAATCATTTTTATATACAAATATTTTCGAGCAGAACTTAATTTATTGCTGTCTAGAGAACAAAAATTTCGAACTACTTTTGTGGTGATGAATAGATCTTCCCTTTTCACGACACCCTCCTGAATCTTCTCACGTAGAGCTTTACCAATTTCCTTTTCATTACCATAAATATAAGCACAATCGAAATGACGATACCCAGCGTCCACTGCGTCCCGTACAGCTTGCTCAACAACACCGGGATTGTCCTGGAAATTTTAATTACATAACATATAATTACAAAGATTGCTATTACAAATTATGAATCACGTGTTAGTAGCTTGTTACGTTATGGTACTCACTGCTGCCTGCCATGTACCGAGTCCTAATACGGGCACTTTTTCACCATTATTTAAAGTAATTGTTGGTGCAGCCATTGTTGCGACTAATTTATACGCATATGGTTAATCACTTGACCTTTTTGAAACAAGTATGAGTACGATACTGACGTTACGTGACATATATAACTTCTCGCGAAGCAAATGAATGTGTTCCCCCCACTCATTACACATAATCACAGGATTTCGTGGATTTTGTTTTTTATTACATTGGAAGTATAAATCAATCTATAAATGGGCAGCGATATATTGAATGTTGATTTATCTGATAACATTATCCGCACTTATAGCGTTATCCTATTATCGTAAAAAAGATAATCATATCACAAATTAATTTTTTTCATGTCGCCGATATTACTTTACGATTGTACATATGTATATGTTACAGAAATGTTTCTTATCTAATACAGAGTGTCTAAGTTGTTTAAGTACAGTGGTGCATCTCGAAAGGAATTAAAGTTACAACAAAAATGTTCATACAACAATTATTTGATAAGACAAGTACATTATCTGAAATTAATAGCTTTTTTGTGGGTGGATACATGAAAGACATTTCAAGGTCAACTCATTTTTTTATTAATGGAATGCTATATTTATTTATTTATATATATAATTATATAAATTATATATATTATAATAAATATATAAATTATTAATATTAATATTTTATTAATATAATTAATGATTATTATTATATAATTCAGGATGATATCGTGCGATACTTTGTGGATTTGCCTGAGTTACGACTGTTATATTTTGAAGAAATAATTCTGTCTAAAACATTCTGTTAAAAAATTGAGTTGTCTTTGAAATCTTTTTCATCTCCCAACCCACAAAAAAGTTATTAATACTGGATGATGTAATTCGTGCTATCAAATAACTTTTGTACAAACATCTTTTTTGTAACTTGAATTTCTTCTGAGATATTCCACTGTACTTACTTAAACAGGATGCACGACATATAAGCAATTATATGTACATATGTATATTCGTGTATATAATTTATATTTACAATTGTATAAATGTTACAAACGATATGATTACAATTTGTTATGAATAAAGATTTTACAAATGTCTATAAAAAAGACAAATTTATTTCTATTGATTATAAATGTTTTCATGATCTAAAAATACTTCAACTTAAGTTAATTAATAGCGGAATCTTAATTTCTATATTCCGTACGCGATTTATGCAGACTCGGCATATACATCTTAGCTATTGTCTGTAGTTTGCAGTTTCTCCTTTTTTGCATTTTTATTTTGATTTTTTATTTTTTTCTCGTCTTTGACTTTGCCTTCTAAATCAAGTATTGTTTTGTCACGAGTTCCGGGCCCCCAGTTGATAGTGGGATTATGTTGAAACCGTGTCAAATGTTTCTGTCTGGAAGCTGGATTAGCCAAGGGGTGTATATCGAACGAAACATTCGTAATAATCGATGTATTTAGTATGTTTAATCCAGGACTATCGTTTGGTAATTTTTCCCGTTTTATAGGGTGGTCCTTTTCCCATGTACGAACAATATCCCAAATTACTTGGTGTGGTGCGTCCGTTTTTATAGATATTTTGTTCGCGTGTGAATATGATACTTGATAACCTGCATTTAATAATGCAGACCTGAACATTAACATTGATGGTGTACAGCATCTAACTATGGACATTAAACGATCCAATGTATAGTATAATGGAATGTCTAATTCTTCATGGACTACATTTAGGACTCCTTCTATTCTCTTCACTGTTTCTAGCTTCATAATATGTAAGTTACATAGTAATTCAGAAACAAACATTTGGTCATGTAAAATACCCAACCATATAGGTCCTCCAGCATGTTGTTTATGTTTACAAACTTTACAAAGTTGATCCACACATGGTGAGGATGATATCTTATAAGATCCAGATGGTTTTTTATAGCATAGTGGCTGAGTATTCAAACTTTCACATCCTGTGCATTGATATACCATTCCTATTTTGGTAGCATTATCTTTACATTTAATTTGACTAGAGAATACTTTTACAAATACCCTGATGTAAAAATCAACACTTATAGAAAGGATTGGTACTATATACCTTCCATAACGAGCTGCATGTGAAGCAATATTCTGCAACAAAATACGCAGTGCTATTTCGTGACAAGCTTTGGATCTTAAAGAAATGGCTCCATATTTTAGATAGCATGTTTCAGGAAAGTTTCCTGCCAATACAGCCATGTCTGTTGCTGTAACCATAAGCATACCTCCATCAGATACACATTGAACAGCAGCGTCCAAAAATATTGTTGGACATCCATAAGGATCCAAATCTATAACGTCAAACTGTTCTCTTTTACTTTGATACATTAACAATGTTGCATCCTCGTGACTGGGCTTTATCAAATCACTTACTCCATTGTGTTCTATGTTCCTTTTAATACTTTCTACAGCTTTTGTAGATATATCATTGGCTATAATTTGTTTTATACCTGGTACCTCTTTTGCATAACGTATACTGCGCAAGCCTGTTGCAGATAAAGCTTCCAAAATAGTTATTCCATCTTTTTTTGAAACACCCTTCTTCGATACTTCTTCATTTCTTGCCCTGGCATAAATCGTTAACACTGCTGTGCTAAGATCCCTGTTGAATACTTGTACAGGGTTATAAAACACATTTGTGTTGCTCACCAAAATCTCTGATTCCCCTTCTCTTATTGTTGTGTTTTCCAACTTTGGTTTTTTTGCACATTGTTGATCATCCATAATAAATGTTGTGAGGGTCTTGAAAACCAAATCAATCGACTATAAAGATAAATGATTGAAGAATGGCCATTTCTCATCTTTGCTTAACGAGACATTATGTCTTCTATAATTATCGCTATTTAGGAATTGTAATACATAATACAAAATAAAGATTGCGCTGCTTTGGTAAACATAACCAACAAAATATGCAATCAGCGCACTGTCACGTGGGCGGACTTCAAGATTTAGTTTTATGTTATTTGAATTGTATAATATTTTTATTGTAATTTATAATTTATTTCATAAATATACCCCCTAGTATTGGAATAGTTAACATGTATTTCATACCTTAATCATTAAATAATTTGATAAGTACACTTTAATTTTGTAAATGACTGAAAGGGTCATAGTAACTTGACCACAGATGGAAGATTTCTACAGATATTGTTACAATGCAAATTTTATCTATATGTTACATAGTTGTAAATTACTACTGTAATGGGATCTACTCCTAAACGCTTTTCTTACTCCCTAAGGTGGCGCGCACATCCCCACCATTTTACTGTGCATCCAATTCGCAGTAGATCCTATCTCAGAAGTGAATCGTCAGCCAATCAAAGCAAAGCAATTCCTACTTTCATTCTTGCTAATGAAGCGCGCTGCGACTGGAAAGTCTTGCAAAACTTGACGCCCCACAGAATGTTACAATTATGGCTGCAAATTTATGGTCTTTGAAAAATTGTGGACCACGAAAACACTATAACTACGTAGTAGTAAAACGCTGCGAATGCAATACAAAGTCCTTCCGAATGCGAAATACAAAGTCGATAACAAACATTACGTATTTCAAAATTAGGGTGTAAAAAAGTAAATTAATGGAACATGATTATTGAGGAGGATTTATTGTATCGATATCGTATACAAAAAACAGATGATATAACTGCAAAACATCATTAATTGATCTTTCAAATTTGGTTAACTATTATATTAATTAATTATATTTGATATTGTTGTCATTTGATTCTGCTGCAATATATTCTGCTGAACAGTACTGTGTGCCCTTGATTTACTATTCGGTTGCTTAATTTTGCTGTAATTAATATTTTTAAGTAATTCTGGATTGTGTACACGTAAACGATTGTGGCGCCTTTTGTGGAGAAAACGTAAAGCTTAGTTCAGGCTTTTGTACAGCGCCAATTGGGTTAGTGACAAAACAGGCAAACTGTTATCCAAAATCGACTGGTGGTAATTTGGCTAACAATTTAAGCGTTTTGCCACTATTCGTACTGGCGCTATACGCCAGTAAATGTTGAAATAAGATTATATAAAGACTGTTCAAATACACCTGCAAAACCATAAAATATGAAAAATTTGAAGCGGAGAAAATATTTAAAAAAATAATGGAATACTGAGTGAAATTTTCTGCATCGATGTAGTGTAAAAAACCCGTGCAATAAATAAATAATTCCAGATTTCACCGCCATTGATATTTTTGTTCTCCAACTTATTTTATTATATATTTATAACATTCGAAAAACAATATTATTGCAAATCACATGTCTTCATTTTAGCTAGCTTATATTTGGTAGCAATATTGACATTAATCTGCTGGTATCGTTTCATGTTTTCATATATTCGCGCGCATTTTATGGTTGGAGGCATGGGAAAAGAATAACGTACTACATAAACGTGACGGTAAGAGAGTGAGAAAAGCAGGGGTTGCCAATGGGAGGAGTTAAAAGATGCGCGATGATTCCGTAGGTGGGAAGAAGACGAGCTTACTGACAGAAGAACAGAGATAGAGAATGTTCGAATGACGTCACAAGCTGCAGCTTCAAGAAGGTTTAAATGAGAGCAGCAGTTCGTTCTTCATACATATCTCTTGCACTTACAATAAAAACCAACACAGATCGTCTGTATCCCGTGACAGTGTGACAGTAGCTTGTAAACCGTCGCGTGGAATGGATCGGCGTTCGTTTTTGGTGCGTGTACAAATACGAAACTGAACAACTGCAACACCAAAGAAAACTTCCCTTCGCTCGTGCATCAGCGTCAAAACGAATGTAAACGATTTCCGCCAGCTCGCGAGGCCGTGTGTTCTCTCGGAGACTACTGTGTATCCTAACCAAGTGTTGAGTGTCACACACCATACGACCGAAAATGGTGCTTTCGGGATGTTATGGATCCGTCAAATATGCACTCATCTTCATCAATCTTATATTCGGGGTAAGTTTATTTTGCGAAAGCATTTTTTCTTTCGGAATCGCAGTCCAACTGTTGCTGCAGTTTCCCTCGACCGTCTCATGGAAGCTGAACAATTAGCTTGAATATCTTCGTTTTCAGCTGTGGACATCTCAAATTAAGTTTACACGATTTCTTTAAATCGAAAGCTATATAAGTAGAAGAACAATGAAAGATAATTTCACTTTGCTTGTATGAACTTCTCATTCACCGATTAAATTGTTGCATTTCGCGCTGTGACGAAAGGGTGGTTTTCTTCCTTTGGGAGATGTAATGTGGGGAGCCTGTTATGACCATTATAAATATGCAAATCGTTCGCGTGATAATGCGTATGCAACTTGGTTCAATAAACTTCAGTGATATTCTTGTATGCGTGTATGTATATTTTCGTAACCTAGTGTACATGCTGCGAAGAATAATTGGAATTAGTGTGTTAAATGCGGTTCAGATATTTAAAAATATTAGAGTTTCCATATTTTTTTTAATTGAAAAAGTTTAATATCCAGAAATTATCAGGATTATTATTTTATTCTGAACTGCTGCGTCGCATCGTTGACCCTCCAATTTATCTCAAAACGCGAACTTGTTCAGAAGATAAATAGGAGACCGTCTGAACTCTTAACATAATTGGATAAATTAACGTAGCTTCTGGCCAAGAAAAAAACCTCACAACTTGCTGCACTCGAGTTAAGTGTTACGTCTATTCTCTTTTCCTGCTTTCCACAATTCGATTAAATTATGAAAGTCCCTCTCATATTTCGCGCATTAAAATCATAAGTCTACTACACAGCGATGTGTACAATTTTCTAAACAAAATTATTAGATTTTGTACATACTTCATGATTTATTTTATTTTACTGAAAAGCTGGAGAAAGATAGAGCAAGGGTGGTCATTTCTGGTGGACACGCGTGCACGTTGGAAATTTTCTGCCGTTATTGTTTTTCAAACCTAGTAACAACGCAATAGCTGGCTGCATCGATTGTATCCACAAGAATGGAAGGTTTTCTGATATTTTTTCGTTTTTACATCGAAATCATAACATATAAATACTTATATAAAAAACTTTTTTAATAACTGCTTGCACACAGTCAGAATCAAATCAAGGTTCCCTTTTGCTCGTGCAATGGCTTTGAAACGCCTCCCCACGAAGCTGCGAGAAAGTATTGTAATGATTAGAGAAATCATAACATATAAATACTTATATAAAAATCTTTTTTAATAACTGCTTGCAGTCAGAATCAAATCAAGGTTCCCTTTTGCTCGTGCAATGGCTTTGAAACGCCTCCCCACGAAGCTGCGAGAAAGTATTGTAATGATTAGAGCGTTGACTTCTTGCGAACCGTCGAACTTCCTTTAATTAGCATCGTAGTTTTCCGGCGCGGTGCAAAGTAACGTATTTTGCGAGGGCAGCTGAATCGATTGCATCCGGGTGGGTGCGATATCTTTTACTAATCGACAGTCTGCCCTAAATTTCGCAGGATTTACTTCATAATCGATTTAGCAGCCTGAGCGTTAAGTGCCGCCGAAGACCAACATTTTCGGGCTTATTAAAAGATCACAGCATTAGACCGTTTAGCAACAAGCTACTTTTGCTTATCTGTCTCATATTGTAATTCTGTCAATTGTGATTTACACATTGTGTTATATTTTAAAGAAATATATCGAATTACAACGCAATCAAGGAAATAAATAATTTTACAGAATCTAAAACATAAAATGGGAGAACATTTATTCGAGAAGCACAGAAAAGCTAGCCAGAACGGTTTAGTGAGTGGCGAGATGATGGGGAGACAATATATTTTAAAGAAATATATCGAATTACAACGCAATCAAGGGAATAAATAATTTTATAGAATCTAAAACATAAAATGGGAGAACATTTATTCGAGAAGCACAGAAAAGCTAGCCAGAACGGTTTAGTGAGTGGCGAGATGATGGGGAGACAATATATTTTAAAGAAATATATCGAATTACAACGCAATCAAGGGAATAAATAATTTTATAGAATCTAAAACATAAAATGGGAGAACATTTATTCGAGAAGCACAGAAAAGCTAGCCAGAACGATTTAGTGAGTGGCGAGATGATGAGGAGACGATATATTTTAAAGAAATATATCGAATTACAACGCAATCAAGGAAATAAATAATTTTACACGATCTAAAACATAAAATGGGAGAACATTTATTCGAGAAGCACAGAAAAGCTAGCCAGAACGATTTAGTGAGTGGCGAGATGATGAGGAGACGATATATTTTAAAGAAATATATCGAATTACAACGCAATCAAGGAAATAAATAATTTTACACGATCTAAAACATAAAATGGGAGAACATTTATTCGAGAAGCACAGAAAAGCTAGCCAGAACGATTTAGTGAGTGGCGAGATGATGAGGAGACGATATATTTTAAAGAAATATATCGAATTACAACGCAATCAAGGAAATAAATAATTTTACACGATCTAAAACATAAAATGGGAGATTTTTTATTCGAGGAGCGCAGAAAGGCTAGCCAGAACAATTTAGTGAGTGGCGAGATGATGGGGGAGGGTTGTATACAAAAGTGTCTAGGGCCTTACGAACACTGTCACGCAGCCCTGCTAACACACAGCGCGCGTATCAGCTCTCAAAACATCCCAGACGACAGAAGTATCTGGGCCGCGGTGTAGGACGCGATCTCGTAGGAAGAACATATTCGCTTTCTGACTGGAAATCTATATTTAAACACTCTTATTCTCGTTCAACATTTTCAAACTAGATGCGTTGCTTGCCTGTTTCGATGCTGACATAAGCGCTATTGTTAATCGCTCAGCAAATAGTTAATGCGCCGAGATCGGTATGTCCAGCTGGGCCGTTTTATCGGCCGCGGTTGAATAACGTGAATCAATATGAGTCATTTCCCTCGATTCTCGTTTTTTCAATTATTTAAAACGATGAGTAATATGGAAGCAAGGTATCGACGAATACGATTCGCGCTTACAATAGTTCACTTAACGAATAACATTAAAAGATTACAGTGATCCGCACAGAGAACGCTGATAAATTCGAGGCGCAACGCGAATCTGATAGTAATTGTGCTAATTGAAGAGTCTAACGTGACGGGCACGGTTAGCGCGCGAAAGTGGTTTTCCACTTCGTCGAAAATCATTTATTTAAGTTTTAGCGGTGGCTCTGTTTCTTTTAGGAACTATTTTCGAATATAAAATAGTCGTGACGATGTTGAACTTGGCATACTTGGCATCGAATAAAGGTGCCAAATGCTTTCACGGAAAACCCATAACACATCTGTTGGCCTGTTTTCTATTTTGTGTCCTATGACTTAATTCCATGAGCTTCTGAAAACGGAAACGAGGGGATCGAAACTGACCGACCCCTTTGTGCAAATGATTTTGGAGACACTCTGTATACGTAGACGTTACATACTGCCTAACTAGTGACTAGGTAGTTACCCTCTTACGAGCACAGTTAGCTATAGCAGTTTAAACGGTTGATCTTTAATACGCGTGGGCATTACTGGTATCATTGAAGTAAATGTCACTGAGCTTACTATCTCCAAATTTGTAACATTATTGCCTCATACAGTCACGGAATGAACGAAAACAGTATAAAAAAAGATATTAGTAAGTTGCACGAAATAACGTTCTCTTGCTAATACATTTGAAAATAGATATAACTTGTATAACATGCAAATTAAATTATGCAAGCATATTGATATTCATCGCGCTATTTGCAAGTTACGACAGAGTGCAAACCCGAAGTGTGCTTGTAAATATATTATGTATGCGTTCTCTTTAGCGCACTTCAGACTTCAGACCCTTTTATGGACATAGTATAACCGAATAGAACAATGTTTTCCAATTGTTCCTATATGTATATTTTCTTTCTGCTTGACTTAATAACTACTCCGTGTCTGTAGATTTAAAAACAAGTTTTTCATAAAAATGTATAGACTTTTGCGATGTGATGAGTCGACAGCTTTGACCAATGCAAATAAGCACGTAGCTCGTGACCCGCCTCTAACTTGATTTACCGTGCTATGTTTGACGTCTGATCGTATCCGCGAAGAATCCGTTTGACTCGGTCGATCCTACCGGTGGTTCTTGCATCTGTTCTTACATCAGCATTCGAGGCTCGAACATCACCAGGATGCCGTGTGAATACAGGAAGTCTTCTGTCTGAGGGAAAGAGAGAGAGAGAGAGAGAGAGAGAGAGAGAGAGAGAGAGAGAGAGAGAGAGACATGCAGAAAAAAGATAAGAGGCATCGAGTGGAAGTCACGTTCGTTCACCAAGTTTAACCCACTGAACCTTCCATAGAAACTCAGGGCTTCGCTGTGCTCTCCTGCTTAGCGTGTAAACACGCTGGTTTTACTGCTAACCGAGTAATGGACTGTCCGAGGATTTGCCAGAGGGAAGAGGGGCTTTTAAGAAAGCTGGCCGCGCAGATAATGTAACCCACTTAGGTCCGTTACAGTGATAAATGCCCGTTGTATGTACGCTAGATAAAGCTCCAGCTATCTTTTGAATATAGTACATAATCGTATAGTACATAACCTCCTACACAACCGCGACTTTGTTCGATTAATATAATCTCACAATTTTGAAGCTGATCCATCTCGAATTTTTTTTAGATAGAAACGCATCCATTGTCATTTTTAGAAGCGATTTGCAATATTTTAGGCGTGCAACGAGGCACGTTCCAGCATAGAACGTTCCGCTGGGCAGCGAGGTTTTCGCGCGAACATATTCCTGCTGTTGCAAACGATGCATTGTATGCACGGGACGTGTCCCTTCCTATTTTGTCGCAAAAATATACCTGACCTTTTTAGCTCTATTGAAACAGAGAAAGCCGGGGACGAGTGTGTTCTGGTTTATGGCTTAAGCGTCCCTCACAATGCGTTATATGGATAAATAATGAAGTATTCTTGTGAAACGGTCGGGTCGGCGCAGGACAGGACGTGTGCCCTTTACAATGGCCTCTGCCTACCAGATGTGAACATTTACATGTTCTCCTCCTCCGTGACCTTTTCTGCAACAGTTCTGAAGTATGCGCCCCAAAAGCATTGTAACAGGAAAGATTCCAAGAAATCTCTTCTCTTTTCCGTGCCGAATAAGTCTGTAAATGCAACAAAGATAAGATATTGAAGTATTCATTGCTAATAAAGAGAAAATTGTTATTTCATTGATATCGTGTTAAAAAATCAAATTAATTTTTTCTATAGATTTATTTAAAATCAGTAAGGTGAAAATTGAATGCAATATTTCTATGACTATAGAGTGGCTTCAGAAAATTGATATAATATATATATATATATATATATATATATATATATATATATATATATATATATATAATATTAATATATATAAATATAAATAATATATATAATGTTATATTATATATATATCATATATATAATATTTAGAGAATTGTACCACAATAAGCCCGGACCCATTTTAAATCTTAAGCTTCTACTTTTGCTATGTATCGCTCTTTCCCTGGAGCCACTTTAAGTGACCAAGAATAAAATTGCTGAGGATATCAATGTTTTCAGATTGTGGGATTGGCCGTCGTGGGGCTGATTATGTGGCTGTTCTGTGGGCAAACATTTTTAATGTCCCTCAGCCATGAACAGCACCATTTCACCGCTGGCCTTTTCATACTGCTCGCTGCTGGCCACCTCATGCTGATCGTATCCTTTCTGGGATGTTGGGGCGCCATTCGCGGGTCCCAGTGTATGCTGGTCTGTTTCTTCAGCTGTCTTCTTGTGGTTTTCGTCGCGCAGATCGCAGCTGGAGCGAGAATCTGTACTAGCTCTGGCAGCCTCAAGGATCTGGTCAAGTCTTCCATGATAATTACTGTTAAGGTATCGACAATTACTCGAGTGAATCACGAGCTAGACACTCGCGAGACAACCGTTAAGGGAGTCTCTAATTACCCGCCACCCGTTTGCCCATCTTAGGTATCTATGTATAATTAGCTTATTCGGCTTTTGAAACCCCGACTGGTCGGTCGCCTGCAATCAGTCCATTCATCTTCCTGAATTAGACACCAGTTGATATGTTTGTTGATTTAGTTCTTCCCCCGTGTTTCACGCGTCACTTAATTTGGTACACATTTGTGTTCGAATTACTACATTCAATTAATTACATCATGTTATTATTTTTTATTATTATTATATTTATTATTATTATTTTTATTTTATTATTATTCTTGACGTTCTTCATATCAGTATCAGTAAATAAAATTGTTAACAATTTCCTTAACAAATTGTATAGTCAATTAATTGTACGACTGGTATTAACAACTTTGACAGAATTTTAATTAAAAAGTGAAGGAATAGTCATTAAATTTTAATCCCTTTCAGAATAAATATGGCGTCGAGGACTCCTACACGCAAACAGTGGATTCGTTCCAGTCCGAACTTGGATGTTGTGGAGCTACCGGTCCTTCAGATTGGGCTGGTAGCAAATATTCCACTAAAGATCCTTCGCTTCCAGTCAGTTTGACCGTTTCCGGAGATCCGAACAACGTCTATACAGTACCAGAATCTTGCTGCAGAACCAAGGACAGTTTAGCTTGTACAGCAGCCAGGGAAATTAGGGTCGCCAGTGATGTCAATGGGGCGATTTACAATGAGGTAATCTTTCTCTTCGTGGTACTATTCCAGAGTAAAATCTAGAGTTCAACTGAAAGTAACTTCCAACTGTCCTCTTTGAACATGCAAGTGTATTCATGAAAAGTATCACTGTTCAAACGGGAAACACAATATGATGAATCATTGCTGGAATCACGCCCAGTTGAACCTGTTAATGCACCGATTGCCGTGCATTAGCGTCACAAGTACGTCCTCAATTAAATCCTGCAAATCTCTTTTTTCGCAGGGTTGCATAGACAAGCTGATAGACGTTTTAAGCAGCCAGAAGAACGTGATCATTGGCATCGTAGCAGCGATAGGCATTTTAGAACTCCTCGGGTTGATATTCTCGCTTGTGTTATGCTGTGCAATCGGATCATCCGATAGATACAAAGCTTGAAAGAAACGCGTTCCAGATATACCATCTTCCGATCCATCCTTACGCCACATATCGCTGTGTCAGAACACGTTTTAACCGGTATAACACTTTGATCTCTGTGCCAATTCGAATAGATTTTCTGGTATTTGTCTGTTTGACTGATCAACGAATGTCTTGCTACAACCAAGCAGCATCCGTGTATAGCTTCAGTATTTTTTTAGTCGGTACTGTCCGTGAGTAGCAGGCGTCGTCGTATTATGATCCTGCTCAGGGGCAAAAACAACAGTTCTTTTCTACCAATGTCTATTTACATCTTTGTAATTCTTTTTTATTTAAAAACTACTCCATTTTATATTTTTACAACCGCCGTTACCTAATAGGAAAAAAAGAAAACACAAAAATTACTTAATAGAATATAAACTACAATTTTCTTCACATTTTTCTTTGAAACCCATTTCGTGCGCTCGTCGAGTTTGGATAGATTGACATTGTATTGGCACTTACGAGATTGAACCGAATTGTGCGTTTATTTAACTCAGTAAAAAGGGAAGTGCACAGTTTCGGTTTGCTTTCTAAGGAAAAAGAAACTCGAACGAGCATTCAATATTTTACAGAATACCTACCTCATGGCAAATAGATGTGCTATGTTTCCATGCATTGATCGAAGCTTCACAGATCTGCATTTCTATCAGTAAGGACATTGCATTCATCCATAGGCGCAACCGTCTTTAGAAACAGAGGAGAGCCTGGCTCAATTTTTTTTTTTTCGAGGTCACATAGACTGACTATTCTCAGCTTATGACCTAGATTAATTAAATAGATAATTTACATTATTAATCTCGAGTCAAAAGATCTTCAATGAACCTAAAGTTTTTTAATCCTGATGGCATAGTTCATCAGGTTACGAATCCAATCCCTAGCTTCTAACGACCGTACGAATTACGTATGAATTTCGTGATCTTTTTCGGTTATGATCTGACATGTATAGTCAATGTTGTTACATTTTGTCATAGACAAAACTGTCCTTGAATGGACGAAATTCCGGTGGGGTGGTTTAGGACGCTGTCTGATGTGTCCTTTAGATCTGATTTGCACGCTGAAATGCGAGCTTCTTCTTTTCCTCCATATCTTCAACCCAACTAGAGCCATGGCCCTCCCGTTGGCGTTTATTACACGCCGTCATTCCCATAGTAGTCTTCTGGGTGTTCCCAGGATACATCGCTTGTCAATCGCTTTTGTTTGTGCTGTCTGGCGACAAAAGCCTTCCAATGCTGGGAATAAGTGGTAGAAACGATCTTTTACATTTTCGTTAGGCCAAAGTAGTAGACCAAATTATCGTTAGTATTTGTTAAGGAACGAATGGAAGAGCGAGAGTGTAGGAGAGTATGAATTTGCTTGAGCGATAAGGATTCGAATATTGTTCTTGTTGCAACTGGTATATTTAATAACAAGAGATTTTGTCTATTATACGCAGGTTACTCTGACTTGGTTCAGTATGCTCTCTAAACTGCCAATGGTTTACATTTCTCGTGAAAATGGAACAAAGCATTTTCACTGTAACGATTTTTGTATCATTAGTTACTACCTTTTGGAAACGTTTTTCTGTATTTCTTTTATGCGATTTTTACCAAGCGTACAGCTTTAAAAAAGAAATGATATTATACAATGATCAATGCATATACTTGCGATCATTCTGTTGCCAATGCGCCAGTTTCAACATACATACACACGCGTCTATATAAATGTATACAAAATATTATATTATTATAGTACATCATAGATGCTCCGAAACGATCGATCTGATAATTAATATTGATGTCCAAATGAGATTATATTATTGTAAGAACGCTACTAAAGCGATTTTGTCTCTTGTAACGTTATAGTCTATCCATGTTATCTTTAAAGTAAAAAGAAAGTGGCAAACATTTAACAGAGAGGACATAGCTAAACAGAAGCATCTAATTTTATAAAACTTTGGAAATTCGTGTAATCTATTTTATCGGTGTGCAACTCTTCGAAGTTGCAATATTTTTTTAAGAAACTGTCTCGTTGGACAGAATAATTCGGTAGCGATTGATCGGTGCATTCCCGTGAAAGTTGAAAAAAAAGAAGTTAAATTGAATGTTGTATTAAAGTCGCTACTACTTTAATACCAAGACTCTTCATCCTGAAAAAGGTTGTGGTGTTTTTCGATGTAACGAACAAGAGCTGCTTTTGGAATAGTTGTGTCTTATATAAGTGATCGATTGTATTTGACGATGAATGTTTTATAGATTATGTGTAACTATAGTAAATAGAAAAGATGTTTATTAATTGTTCATTTAATATTCATCGTCAAATGATCTAGGGTAAGCTAAAGAGAAATTGATCTTTGCATATATGTATCTTGGTGATGAGTATGGTACAAAAAAATTACGAGAATATTTCAATTCTCTTCATTAGGTTCCAAATCAAAATATACGAAGTGAAGATCATAGTGTCTAGTCTATAAAGGTTGAATTCCTTATTTATCAGATTAATTGTGTTTTATAACTAACGCGTTGCTTATCAATTGCTGGACCCACGGAAATGCAAATGTATGATTTCCGATCAAATGAGATTTAATGGATGAGCAATGTGTTAATCGATCGCTTTACATTGTAATATTATTTCATGCGTTCCTCTCCCTTTCTATGAAGACAGAATAAGAGTGCGTACTGTTCAGTGAAGCAGTGGCAATGTCACTTCTGTTTACCAGAAATTCAATTTAATTTAACTTAATCAACGATCAACAATATTCATTTGTGATCGTTAACGTTTGAGAAGCTCTAATTAAGTATATAAATAATCATCTGCACGTATGTACGCATATACATATATCTGATGTTATATATGTAAACAAAATAATGCAATTTGAAGATATAGAAACGCTTATTGAGTAAAAGGACGCGACCAACAAGCAATGTAAAAAGTGATGATCTAATTGCTGTAATTACGGGTTTTATAGTTTCCGATCTTGAAATAACTTTGTTAATTGTAGTTAATTCCAAAAAATTTCTTTGTAGTAGCGTAGCATCATTTTTTTTTCTACCTTGAAACAATTAATATATGCGTTAATCCTTCGTGTTAGCATGAAATGTTTCTAAATGGTTAATAGACATTTGATTTTTCATTTCTTCACAATGCAACGTTGTAATTCTTAATAGGACTTCTCTTATTCAAATAATTTTACAAAATCGTAACTTGTGATTTCTATTGAACACTCATTGTCAAATTTTAATAGCATTTTTTCAATTTCATCGGATTTCATTTTTGTATGATCATTTCTGAAAGATACGAGGGATAGGTACGACTTTACGTGTTAAATCTTATACAAATCTTAGAAAAAGAAAAAATATATATTCAGAAACTGTTTAAAAATACGTGTTTAGCATGCAGTGTATCGGTATTGCGAAAAGAGACAAATACTAAACAATCGACAAGCAAGGTATATTCACAAAATATGAGATCATCACTCGTAATATACA